GTCCCGGCTCCCATTGGACGCCCGCCTGGTGACATCACAGTGGGCTGCTGTGATGTCACAAACAGCGTGCGCGGCCGGAGGCAGCCCTGGCGTCAGCGGGACTGGGGCCCCGGGGGCTGCGATCTCCCCTCGCGGGGGTGCCGCAGGGCAGCGCGGGCGCGGACGGGCCGGCAGAGACCCGGGGGCGACCTCAGGACACCGCCGGTCTGGAACCCGCTCTGCTCCTTCCCTCCGCGCGGGCCCGGCCCGGCCCGGCGCCGGGGAACCGGCTGCGGTTGGGAGATGAAGCAGGCGGCGGGCGCCATGCCTGGGGGACACCCCTGCGCCGGGGGGGAGGGCAGGGAGAAGCCCCTGCCCGGGCTCAGGCAGGGGGCCCGGCAGGCCCTGGCTGGGGCCCCGGGGGGGGGCGCGCGCTGCTCGCTCCTCTTTCCGTGCCCCCGAGGCACCCCGGGCCGAGGAGAAAGGGGCTGTGCTCGGGGCTGGACCCACCCCGCTACACTTCATAAGGTGGTGGCGGGCAGTCCCTGGACGAGAGGATGCTGTGGGACAGCTCATGGATGGGGTTTGGGGTGACCTGAGAGTCCAAGCCTCAGCAGGTTTTTCTGCAGAGGAGAGTAGGCTGCTGGCCTACCTGGGCTCCTCTCCTTTTCCTTCCTCCCTTCTCTCCTCTGCTTTGGGCAAGGTGCTTGGCTTCCCAACCAGCTGCTTCTGGGTTGAAGTTGTGGCACCATTGGAGCCAGCAGGCAGCCAGCACCTCCCAGCTCGTGGCATGGGCAACCTGGAAGTCCACTTTCACTGAAGGCCCACACAATTTAAGATAGACTGTATATTCATTTCCATTCAACTGCAGAGGTCTGCACAGGTGACAGACAGGTTTAAGATCAAAGGTTTTCCCTGTCTCTCCCCTACATGCATGCCGTGTCCCACAGGGCTCATGGGGCTGAAAACAGACCACTGGTTTATCACAGGATAGGAACTTTTATCCTGGGATCCTACAGTAGTACAAGCTTACTGTCCGACTCTGTGTCCCTGCACAGTACCTGAATTAACATTTTGTTCCAGGATAATGGAGGCTAATTCAAGTTAGTTGCTATTCAAGCCCCATGTGTTTTGGTGTGAGTGACAACTCAGGACAATCAGCCCCTTATTAAACTTGTCTGCTGTTTTTAGCCTGGGTAGTTAATAACTATCTACACATGTTTAAAGGAACTACAGTATCCAGATAGGTGGGGGAGTGGTTAGGTTTATGCAAGACAAAGCCATGTCTACACTCCAAGACAGAATGGTGTTTGACAACTGTTGTTATCAATAGGGTATTTTGGTAGTAACTTTTTCTGGACAGATTGAATTGTTGGGAGAGATGCTGGACAAGCTTTCCAGCACAAAGTTAAATTTAAAGTTAAATTTTCTGCCAACACCGGGCAGGACCAGATAATATTAGTCAAATGCAGGGACAAGGAATGTTGAGATCAGAGAAACAAAAAAGATAAAAAGATTGTCAAAGATGTGGCATTGTGAAGGCTGGTGGAATTAAATGTAAAACACAATCCTGCTCTGTTCAGTTCCAGTGAGACTCAGTTCACAGAGAAACAAAAATTATGCACTTCAGCCATTCCCAGAGGAGCCTAACTCTCAGAATAACTCACATGTTTCCTGTTATTTGCTACCAGGAAAGACAAAAGGACCAAAGAAGATGGCCAAAAGTCTGAAAACAACTGAACATAGGATACTTCAAACTGAAATGTGGAAGAAATAGACCATGTCCGAAAACAAAGCTGAAAGCCAGAGCTGTACCAGGTTTCTTTTTTTTTTTTAGTTTTTAATTGCAGGAGAACACTTTTTGTTGAAGGATTATAAACTGGAAACATTGTGTGAGTGGTTTCAGATGCTACATTTGAAGGAAAAGAAACCTGGAAGACCCTATTTCCTTGTGATTCAGCTATAGCTGTCAACCTAAGAAAAGAAGTGTAAACTCTATGGAATACTTTAAAAACAATAATCTAAGATGGTTAACTTGGAATGTTGTCATCTCAGCAGTATGATGCCCCAAAGAACAGTCCTTTCTGTCACTCATAGCACTGGCTTCCAAAACGTTCAAGTATTGGCTTTCCCCTTGCTTTATTCAGTCTTGTATTCCCTGGTCGCCATCACTTCGTCAGAGAGAATATTGAACAGGAAACAAAGATTACAGTTGCCACATACATAGTTGTTATTGTCCACACATCTCAGAAGTTAGTAGGCATTATTCCCCCTGAGAGATGAGTAGACTAAGGCAAAAAGGAGGACTAGATCCTAAATGCAGATTATATTTATTTATCACTCCTCTCTGCAATTTATCACACCAATATTTCTCTCTCACACCCTCTTCTGTGTGTATCAGAAAGAAGTTTGAACAAAAGCCCTTCAGAATTTGAAGCAAACTGTTAAATTTATGATTGTTCAAAATGCTGACTTGGCATCTGTATTTATAATATTGATGAAGTAATGTCATTGAAACTGGTTACCCTTAAAAGTATCTGACTTTATGCCTTTCAGTAATGCTCAACTGAAAACCAGCACAAATATTAGTGAACTTAATAAAATGATGTGTGATGTTTATTTTTGTGTAGATGGCTGAAGTGAAGCAAATGGGTTTCTATTATTGCAAACTATTAAAAGTTTACCCTTAAGTTTTCAAAGTAGGTAATTTTAGTGTTGTGACTCCTAGCCATTAATGTTTAACCCCAGTAAATCTTTATTCACTTTGCAAATTTATGGCAGAAACCCATTCACCATTTGAGAGACTGCATTAGATAAAACTGAATTAGTCCATAACACTAAAATGAGTAAATAATTGTATGATGGATAAGAATATTAAATACATAATGGATAGTTCAGGTAAAATAAACTTTCTTGTGAGAACAATCAAAATTGTATCATATGACATTACAAAAATTCTGTATGCTAACTCCATAAAATGTTGAATATAAATAAAGGCTTCAGATGTTTTATACAGGAATTTGGGTCACTACTGTAGCTATGTGATGAGAAAAGGACTACTGCAAGCATTTGCAGTCAGATTCTCAGGGTCTGCTGCAGTGGCTTTACAGGTCTCAGGGGATATAGGTATGGACAGGTAGGGACTGAAAGGCATGAGGTGAAAC